ACAAATTTCAAGGCCTCTATCTAATTCAAACTGAACTGTTTTTACAAGGTGAATTGAACGAAATACGTACCAAACAGAAGTCGACATTTACAGTGCATGGTAAGTATATTGATATTTGAATTCATGTCTTAAAGTACTTATATATGACCATAATAAAGTATATTGTTTAACCAAGAACTTACTTGAAGATAAAATTATTGACTGTTTGATAGATCAAAAGTACTATAATCCATGTGGTACTGTCATTTTTGCAATATAGAGGTAACAGATTATCTATTTCCTAGCAAGAAACCGTTTTCAATGTCGTAACTTTTGAATATGCTGAAGGAAGATATAATAGAGCGGTTGAATTGTGTTGTTATCATTACATTAAATAAAACAAATTTATTGTTTATCATACGTAGATGTCATCGACGATTATATATGTGACGATGAAGCTATTGACGATCAAAATAATGATGAAGAACAGTTCCAAATCCAGACATCCGACAATGACGAAAAACATGTGCTTGTTAATACACGAATTGATTATCAATATCGGTCTGAAATTCTGAACAACATATGTCTATATGATTTTGTCAGTATCTTATACAAGAAGAAGATGAATGCAGCAGATTTGAAATATTTATCGGACATTATAGTACCTAAAAAACAAAACGATGATCGAAAAGGTCGACGTCCTAATGAACGCTATGCTTTTCAGAAACAGCATCCACAGGCGACAACATATATAATGATGAAGTATAGTCAATCTCGTGTACCTATTCTTTATGGTCCTCAAATTCCTCGACAAGATCGTGATGACACACGAGAACGGTACTGTCGAGCTCTTCTAACACTTTTTGTGCCCTGGCGTTCCGTAGCTGATCTTTGTGCCATCGAACAGACATGGGAAGATGCATTTAAATCTCGACAGTATCTTATATCTACATATTCGATGACAATCATAGAAAATATTCAACTTTTACATGAATGCAAAAAAGGATCGTGATGAATATTTACTTCAAGTTATTGCCGAAGCTGAAACTGATGGTGATGTGATTGATCCTGTATTTTTACCACCAAATCAAGATATTTATGGTGACGATGGAATCGACGACAGTGAACATTTACTTGAGTTACTCGGTAGTTTAGATGAATATACTACGACTGCGATGAATTCCATCAAAAAGTCAACAGAAAGCAAATACATTGAAGAAACTATTCAAGTGGTTGAAAACGTTGGACGATTTTCTGATGTACACTGTAAGTATTATATTAATATATTGTCAATATGATAGAAAATAACGATAAAAATTTATTATAGCACATACTCGTCATCTTTTTAATGAAGCTGTTGGTGGTATGGATCAACAAATTGTGCCGTTCGTTTCAGCTACACCTACTCTCGTTCGACTCAATACTAAATGGCAAGAACAACTAAAGACTGAGAAAGAATGAGTTAGACGAAGTTTAATTACGGGCAAATACGACACAACGGACGATACATTAGATTATTATAGTATTGTGAGGATGTGAATCCTATACCTCTCTGTTTATTCGTATAAAAGCACACGCTATATATAGGATGGTGTAACACCCTGTAAGGGAAATGTCCAACATGAGATCAAGGGAAGAAGATGAGGAAAAGTCCCATAACATATAGCATCACATACATAAACGATAGGAGAGGAGAAATCCATGAACGATATAGAAGAGAACGAGAACACATATAGAGAAGAAGATGATGAATCACACTATATATGATATATGTATACGTAACAACAGAACGAAAGAAACTATACATATATGCCGTAAGAAAGAAATGAAGAAAGATGATGATACCACCTAACAGTATACAGGATGCACTTGTAGCTATGGTCAATTCAAATAATTATAACATAAATACACTTGATAATTACACTCAAATTCGTCCAGTTGCGTCAGTCACTACCACAAGCTATTCAACTCAGCATAGTATTATTGAAGAATATACATTGAATAAAGAACAACAAGCTGCATTTCTGATAATAACCAATCATCTTGATGGTGACAAAGAACGTCATAAAGGTATTTTAATGATCTATACGTATAATATAAATCAAAATAATATATATATATATAGGTACCAACCAGTGGCGGCGGAGCGTGGAGGCTCAAGAGGCTTAAGCCTCACTTGGATTTCAGTCGTGGAGGCTCAGCCTCACTTATTTTCGGATTGAATATTATCTTTTATTATTAAAATTTGTTATGTTCTGCATCTAACATAACTAGATATATATTCTGACATATCTTATATCTACCTTTTAATGCGGTTCACCTATTTTTTATATGTTTTTCTTTCGTCTATTCTTTTACCGCATAGATATCACATACAGCTTACATATATATATATATGTATATCCTGTATATTTCTTTTCTTTTACTTGGATATTTCCCCTGTCTATATGATACTCAAGTATTTTTCCTCTTTTCTTACATTTTTTCTTGTCCGCATGATTAATTTTTCCTCATTTCGTCTATATATGTTTTATTCCCAGAACATTTGTTTTTTTCAAGCGCATATACACATACACGTATATATATATTATTGTGGGAATAAAGAAGTAGCTCAGTAGTGATCAGATTGATTTATATCCTCTTCACATCGTATTTAATGGCTGAAAAACGTCCAAGAATTCATCCATTTTTCTTTTTGACACACATATACAAAGAAAAGTCTCTGTTCAACTTTCGCGTCGAAGAACGAACAGAGAAAGTTATTTTTTGGTACGTTCTGATTTGTTTTATTTTCACGATGACCGTTGTAGTTTTTATTGAGGTCTAATAAAAAGAAGACTTATATTTTGCTTCATGTTTTGATAAAAGTTCACAGTAGAAAAAAATATTGTGAGCCTCACTTAGGTTAATGACGCTCCGCCGCCCCTGGTACCAACAATGGTTAGCTGATAATATGCATACCTGGATGCGGCGGCACAGGTAAATCACAACTGATTCGTGCTGTCACCAAATACTTTCTTATTACAAAAAGAATGCAGATGATGCGAAAACTCGCACCCACTGGAATCGCTGCTGCTGAAATTGGCGGCATGACAATTCATTCATTTTTAGGTGAACAACGTAATTCAGGAAAGCCGCGCACCGTCAAACCAGGTGATACAAAACTTGAAAACCAATGGAGACTGGTTGAATATCTCCTAATTGATGAGATGAGTATGGTTGGTTTAACTCTACTTG